CTTGCAGGGAGTTCTGCTGAAGGGTTCCCTGCTGGGCCTGCAGCCTGGGTCAGAAGAGGATCCCTGGGCCCGGGAAGTCTCACTCACTCGCCGGGCCTGCGCTCCGGGTCTGTTCAGGATCCCGCGGCCTGGGTCGTCTCACTCACTCGCCGGCCTGCGCTCTGGGTCTGTTCAGGACCCCGCAGCCTGGGTCGTCTCACTCACTCGCCGGCCTGCGCTCTGGGTCTGTTCAGGACCCCGCGGCCCGGGTCGTCTCACTCACTCACCGGGCCTGCGCTCCGGGTCTGTTCAGGATCCCTCGGCCTGGGTCGTCTCACTCACTCACCAGGCCTGCGCTCTGGGTCTGTTCAGGACCCCGCGGCCTGGGTCGTCTCACTCACTCGCCGGGCCTGCACTCAGGAATATCATTTTCAACTAGATAACCAACTATTCATCTGAAATCCCTATTTTTGTACAAAGAGAAGAGAATATAATAGGTGGCAGGTAGCAGCTTCTATCATTGTTATTGTCGGAGTTTACAAGGGGAAAAGATTTAATGTAGGATACATAATTTATAGACTTATTTTATAATATTTACCCAAAGAGTCAAGTGCAAAAGACTACTGGAGATCTGTCTATACACTAGAGACCCAAAGAATCAAGTTGACTGCCTGTATCTGACAGCAATGTTCTGAATGAGTCTGGCTGAAGACCTAGAGCCCATGACAGTGTCCACTATGAGTCTATCTGGAGGCCCATGACAATGTCTTATGCAAGTATGGATGAAGGAACTGCTCTGGGAGGGTCTAAAGGTCAGTGGTAGAAGCCAGAATGTTGCACCAGTGGAATGAAGGGTCTGTGCCGGATCGAGCAATCTGCATTGGAGCCAGGAAGTGATGTTCAAAGTAAGGACCAGAGCACTCACAAAGAGAGCTGTAGCCATCCTCAGTAACAATGAAGACGTGCACTCCTCCAGTGGTAAGAACATGCACGTTCATATCAGGAAATCCAACATGGCAAGCTTCTACAAAAGAATCATCAGCACACTACCTTCCCCTCCCCCTCTCTTTTTATGCTTTTGCAAACAGTCCTCAGGTGGAACTTCCAGACCCCAAACTACTCTGATTAGGTGCAACTGCATGTTACAAGATGACCATTGGTTAATCCACCACAATCTTTTGGATACTCACTTAAACCAATTCAGGTAAATCTCAAAGGATCTCAAAAATAAAAGAGGCAAAGAAATTGAGACTAAAATACTTTTAGTAGTTTGCAGCAGTAATGTACAGCAAGAATTTACTGTACACCTTTGACTTCTCTATGTCCTTATGAAGTTAAGAGTCTATGGATCTGCTGCATCTGAGGGTTTGTGTCCTATACTCAAAATACTTGTATTGAAACCTAATTTAAAATGTGATAGTATTGGAAGGTGGGGACCTCCAGTATGATTAGCTCTCATGAATGGCAGAAGAGATTTCAGAGCCCTGCATTGCGCCTTGCCACATGTCAGCATACAGCAAGAAGCTACAATCTATGAGTGAGAATATGACCCTACCAGACACTAAGCTTGCTGGAGATTTGAGCTCGGATTTCCCAGGTTACAGAACTGAGAAATAAAATTCTGTGGATTGTAAACAGTCATTTTAGGGATCTTATTGTAGCAGCCTCAGTGAGAATTGACCCTATTCTGAACTTAGCTGTGCACATCCAATTCCTTATGCCACCTAGGCTTAAGGAAGTTTAGAGCATTAACAGTACTCTAAATAATCCCTATAAGGATAATGTTCACTTTGTTGATTTATAGACAGATACTAGTTACAAGTAAGTTCTGAGAGACCATTCCCATGTCTATACAAGAAATCATAAATTTTAAGAAATAATTGAACCTTCCTCCCGTCTCTTTCAGAAAAAGTACATGCTGAGATTGACAGAGTTGTTGGCCAGAAACAGCAGCCAAGCTTGGCTAATCGAGAGTCCATGCCCTATACCAATGCTGTCATCCATGAGGTACAGAGAATGGGCAACATCATTCCCCTGAATGCTCCCAGGGAAGTGGCTGTTGATACCACTTTGGGTGGATACCACCTGCCAAAGGTAATTAGGCACTCTTAGCCTTTGTCTTTGTCTTTAAGATCATCCTAGAAAAGTGTGCTAGGAGAGGTTCTGGTCCTAAGGAATCACTTCCATGAACAGAGTGATGCATTACTTCTGATTGTCTCAATACATGACATCCACAATTTAAGGAAGAAAAGGTTGTTTTGGCTCATAACTTGTAGAGGTTTCAGTCCATGATTAGGTGGCTCCAAGGCAGCGTGGCATGACAGAGGTGCATAGTAGAGGAGAAGCAACTGATGGCATTGTGAGAAGATGGAAAAAAAGAATAAAAGAAGGAGAGAGGGAGACATATCCTACCAGATCACACTCCCAATAACCTGCCTCTCCTGACAAGGATTCTGTAACGTGTCATAGTTTGGAAAATTCTGTGACAAAATCCTATAGTTATAGAACGTTAAATGTGAAAGGATATAGGAGACCCTCGGATCTCAAATTACGCTAACACTGCTGTTTCTGACATAATTTCCCCACCAACAGGACTTCAATTTACAGCCCAGTTGTGGGGAGTTATTCTAAGAAAGGAAGCCAGTTCTGGGTGTGCGGTATGACTTATAAAGGGAGAGACAAGAAAAACATTTATTATGAAACAGTTATCTGTATTATACCACCAACCTGTTTCACAATGTCTTAGTTCTCAAAATAACTTATTTCATTTTGTAGATTAAATTGAGGCTCAGGAAAATTTTGCAGATCTCTGAACTACAACATGACAAATTTGACATTCAGAACTAGTTCTTTGTTTACTATCTTCAATACATAATGGTCCTGCTCAGAACTTGTTTTTATTTGACTAAAATAATCTTCCTCAGGTTTTCTCCATTGTCCCCTATTAAATTTCCTGTCTTCACAAACAGAATTCTCATCTCATGCTACCTACAGTTAAGATCCCACAGTCATTTCCTCTTTGTCTCTGGTGTCTTCTATGCACAAAGCACATTTTAGGTGCTTTCCTTTGTTCTCTAGCCAACTTTTTCAGGTTGTGTGGGTGTATTCTAGTTTGTTTAAGTTCCTCTGAGTAGGATTTACTCAGGAATGATCTCCAGTGGCATAACCAACAACTTTCCCACTCAACGTTTCAAGGTAGTGCCACTGGCAAGCCAGGCAGGAACTGCTTTTTTCATTGAGCATCCCAGCCACTGTTTGTATTTTTCTAAACTATTCTTCAATCTTCACAGCTATCTCACTAGACTGCTTCTAACACTAAGTTTTAGCATAGGGTTCAATAATCATGTTGGGCACCAAAAAATCTAATTGCACGTAGGTCAGGATCCATAGCTTTGATATCAGATAGACCTAGTTCAAGAAATAGCTCTATGTTTACCAACTATGTAACAAACAATAGCTCTATCTTACCAACTATGAATTATGGTAATTCTAATGGCTTTAGTTTCTTCACCTGTAGAATGCATTTAAACTCATCTCACAGACTCTGAACTGGTAAAATGTGATCTTACATGCAGAGCCTCTTACTCAAAATAGCAATCATTATCTTCAGTAACCCAACCAATATGCATTAAGTTTGTAAAACATTTAGATCTGAAAAACAATCCTGAGCAAAATGATGATGCAAACACTTCAGAAATCATGAATTGCCAAGAGGAAAACTCTCACATGTCCTATAGAGATGCTCTTAAAGTTTTTCAGCTAAAGTCACAAATAGGACTTATGATGTGGAGAAGGTTTTAAAGACCATGAATTTGAAACCAATAATTTTTTTATTTCTTTATTTTTTAAATTTTTACTTTATTGAGAAACAAATAGAAATGAGACAGCTTCAAAACTGATTAATAGGACAGTTTCAATAATTAATACATTATACATTGTTATCTTCTTTTTGGTGATCCATAGTACAAGATGTAGACAAGATATCTTGTCCAAGCATGATTATTACAAATCTTTCTTCTCATTGAATTAAGTGAAAGTAGCTGTATATCTATCCTAACTATTCCATATATACAGACACAAAATGGTCCTTTCTTTCTATCCCCCTTTTTCTGTTTAGTCCTGTCAGAGATGGGGATTCCATTGGCATCTAAATACTGTAGGTGCATGAATACAGCAAAAAAAAAATCCAACACAATACATCTGTCCACAGTAGTAGTGGGTTATGTGCAGAAGTTGTTGACTTCAGCCTTTCACAGCTCAGCATATTTATATGACTTTACTTTATATACCTCGTTTTTCTATTTTTGTGCTGGATGGTTAAGACCAAGATAAAGCAAAACCTATAAAATAAGAAGTGCAAGTTTTGTATCTGACAAGATCAGTCAAGTACCCTCAGGATTTATCCTGTAACCCTGTGCTGCAGGTTGCAGATCATTTGTCAGCGTCAGCCATGTGGATGAGTCACGGACATTGCTTGACCAATTTGCTCTCTATGAAAGCCTGAGAGAATGTTTTCCCTCCATGTGACTCTCCTTAGGCACACTCTACATCATCGATCACTTTCATCTGTGGCCCCATAATCTCCTTGATCAGAGTATTTGGGACACAACTGAGTTACATGATGTTACAATATAGGTTCTCCTATGTGCAGTCTTCACTGAACTTGAAAGGCTAGGGTCAAAATGTTGGCTGTCCTTGCAGCCCTTCTATTTCTACAATTTTTGGTCTGCAAATTTAGGTTGTTAACCCTCCAGAAGAGAAGCTTATTGTTACCCTACAACATATGAAGTTGGATTTAACTCCACTATCTGTATGAATATCAAACATCTTAGACATAACATGGAACAGGTAATTTCCATCAAGTATTGATATCTTAAACTTTAAGTCCCTACAGAATATGGAGAAAAAATATAAAAAATGAAAAATATTTAAAGAATAGCAATAAACAATTACATATTTTTACACAGAAATTTAGAAATCTAACCATATAGAGCATTGAAGCAGAATTTTTTCCTTATGTCTTTTTTTCATTTATTACCCTTTTTTAAAAATAAAAGAAGAAGAAGAAGAAGAAGACAAGGCAGGAATTGCAATGCCTCCTGCCTTGTCTTTGTTGGCCAGGATTGCCTTTGCTATTCTAGGTCTTTTCTGGTTCTAAGTAAATTTTAGGAACAATTTCTCTAGGTTTGTGAGGTAGACTGGTGGTAGTTTAATAGGGATTGCATTAAATCTGTACAACAATTTTGAAAGTATGGCCATCCTCACAATGTTGGTTCTTCCTATCCAGGAGCAAGGAATATCTTTCCATTTTCTGAAATCCTCTACAATCTCTTTTTTAAGAGTACTGTAATTTTCTGTGAAAAGATCTTTGATTTTTTCAGTTAGATGATTTCCAAAGTATTTCATTTTCCTTGGTGCTATTTCAAAAGGTATTGTTTCTCTAATTTCACTGTCAGTGTGTTTGTTATCTGTGTAGAGGAATGCTACTGACATTTGAGTATTGACTTTGTATCCTGCTATGCTACTGAATTTGTGTATCAATTCTAGTACCTTCTTGGTGGAGTATTTTTGGATCTTCCAAGTAAAATATCATGTCATCTGCAAATATGATAATTTAACTTCTTTACCTATTCTTATTCCATTTATTTCCCCCTCTTATCTAATGGCTCTAGCTAATGATTCCAGAACTGTATTAAATAGGAGTGGTGATACAGGACATCCTTGTCTTGTACCAGATCTAACAGTAAAAGATTTCAGTTTTTCCCCATTTAGAATTATGTTAGCCATTGGGTTTTCATTTTTTTTTTAAGAAATTCTTTTTTTTTCTTTTCAAAGTTTTATTGATAAACATATAGCAGTGAGACAGTTTCAAATCAAATTGAAAGTACAGTTTCAACAAATAATACACTGCATATATTCTTCTTAGTGGTTAATTGCTGTACAAGATGCAGACTTGTGAT